TTTTGAAAACAAAGGCCCTTCATGGTCAAATTGTGCAAAAAACCACCTAAAACAAAAAAAATGACTTGCTGGGCCCAAAAAACATACAAGGGGCTTTAAACCCGGGGGAAAATTTGCCCTTTGGTGGGGAGCCCAAAATTTAGATTTTTTGGTTAAAACCCCCGCCGTTCTTTGTGGACGCGGTGTGGGTGAACGGTGGACCTGCTGTGTTTCCCCCGAAAAACATGGAGGGGGAGGTTTTTGGGGGGGGGGGGTTTCTTCTGGTGACACGTCTGTGATTTATTTAAATTAAAGGCCCCTTTAAACCCCGCATGGCTACCACAGCATTCTGCAGCAAAACCCTCCCATCTGGTTTGGGCTTAGGGGGACTATCATTTTTTTTAAACGGACAATGCCCCCAACACCCCCCCCAGGCTGTGTAAGGGCCTATTTTAAAAAAGGGAGTGTGGAGTCTAAATCAGATGACCTGGCCTCCACAATCCCCCACCTCAACCCAATTGAGATTTTTGGGGATCGGCCAAAAAGTAAAGAAAAAGCGCCAAAGTGCTCACAATGGGAACCCCTTTAAAAACTGTGGAAAAGCTCCGGGGAAAGCGGTTAGAAAACCCAAATTTGAAAAGCGTCATAAAGGGAAAAAGGTGGCTATTTGAAGATCTAAAATATAAAAATTTTTGATTTTTTAACATTTTTTTTTTGGTTACTACCTATTACATATTGTTACTTCATTTTTTTGATGTCTTCACTTTTCTACAAAAAGAAAATGAAAAATAAAAAAAAACCCTTGAAGAGTAGGTTCTCCAAAATATTGACTGGGGAGTGTATAATTAACTTGTGTATGCTTTCCCTCAGGGGTACCACACACAACACACACCCACACACACACCACCACACCACACACACACCCCCATACACCCACACACACAAACCCCAACCCCACACCCCACACAACCACCCCCCACCCACACCCCGAGAAAGGGGTTGTGGGAGGATTCTGGATGTTTCTAAAGGCTCTGAGGCTGAAAAAGGGGTTTTTTCCCGGGGGCCTTTCCTGGTGGAGGAACAAACCCGGAAGGAGAGTCCAATAAAGTTTTACAAAACAAATGGGAAAAGGGACCAATAAATTATTACAAAACACTGAGGTCCAATAAATTATTCAAAACGGAGAGTACCAAAAAGTTATTACAAAAACTGGGGGGTCCAAAAAATTATTACAAACAATGGAAGGTACCAATAAAGTTATTACAAACAAATGGAGAGTCCAAAAAAGTTATACAAACAAATTTGGGGAAAGGGCCAATAAAAATTTTTTACAAAAAACCCGGAAGTACCCAAAAAGTTATTTCAAACAACTGGAAGGGGCCAAAACAGTTTTACCAACAACTGGAGAGGGCCAAAAAAGTTTTTCCAAACCGGAGATACCAATAAAGTTATTACAAAAACTGGGAGGTCCAATAAAGTTATTACCCAAAAAACTTTAAGGTAAACCCAAAAATTTTACAAAAAAACTGGGGAGGTCCCAAAAAGTTTTACAAACCACTGGGGGAGGACCAATAAGTTTTCCCCAAAAAACGGAGGCCCCAATAATTTTACAAAACACTGGGGAGGTACCACTAAAGTTTTTAAAAACAACGGGGGAGGTACCATAAAATTTCACAAAAAAACTGGAAGGTCCAATAAGTTATCAAAACAACTGGAGAGGTACCAATAAAGTTATTACAAAACAACTGGAGAGGTACCAAAAAGTTTTTTACCAAACAAATGGGGGACAAAAAATTTAAAAAATAAATTTATTACCAAAAAACTGGAGGGTACCAAAAAGTTTTTACCAAACAAATGGGGAGGGTACCCCCAAAAAAAAATTTTCCAAAAACAATACCAAAGTTTTTTTTCCAAACCCCTGGGGAGGGCCAAAAAATTATTACCAAAAAACGGAGAGGTACCAAAAAAGTTATACAAAAAACTGGAGAGGGCCAATAAAAAATTACCCAAAAAACTGGAAGGGACCAATAAAATTTTACCAAACAACTGGAAGGTACCAATAATTTTTACCCAAAAAACGAGATTACCAAAAAAGTTATTACCAACAAATGGGGGGGTACCAATAAAATTTTAACAAAAAAAACTGGGGAAATACCAATGTTTTTACCCAAAAAACGAAGGTACCAAAAAAATTTTCAAAACAAATGGGGAGGGACCAAAACAGTTTTTCCCCAAAACGGAGAGGTTTTCCAAAAGGGTTTTTACCAAAAAACTGGGGTACCAAAAATTTTTTCCAAACAACTGGGGGGTCCATAAAGTTATTACAAAACAACTGGAGAGGTACCAATAAAGTTATTACAAAACAACTGGAGAGGTACCAATAAAGTTATTACCAAACAACTGGAGAGGTACCAATAAAGTTATTACCAAACAACTGGAGAGGTACCAAAAGTTTTACAAAAAAACTGAGAGGACCCTAAAATTATTACCAAAAAACTGGGGAAAGGTACCAATAAAGTTTTACCCAAACAAAATGGAGGGTACCAATAAAATTATTACCAAAAAACGGAGAGGGGACCAAAAAAGTTATACCAAACAACGGAGAGGGACCAAAAATTATTACAAACAACTGGAAGGTCCATAAAATTTTTACAAAAAAACTGGAGAGGTACCAATAAGTTTTTACAAAAAAAACGGGGGAGGGACCATAAAGTTATTACAAACAAATGGAGAGGGACCAATAAAGTTTTACAAACAACGGAGAGGGGACCAAAAAATTATTACAACCTGGAGAGGTACCAAAAATTAAAAAAAAAGTTAAATTTTTCCAAACACTGGTGAGGTCCAATAAAGTTATTACCAAACAACTGGAGAGGTACCAATAAAGTTATTACAAAAACGGAGAGGTTGGGTGCCCGTCTGCTGCGGTGGTTTAATTTTCTGTCAACAAAGAGTCCGCTAGGCTGCACTTGTTTGAGGCTTTTATTTTACACACGTTTACAGCATAAGTTTCAGACCCCGGTGTTGGAAAGCACCTCCCAATTAATCTGAAACTTCGACTCCCCCCTTTTTCAGCTCCTACTTATAAAAAATGGCAAAAATGGGTTGCTCCCTTTTTTTTCCAATCACCATCCCCCCCGGGGGGTCACCCTCCAACTGCTACATTTTGAACAACATTCCATAATCCCTAATACCGACAGTACCAATAAAAATTATTACAAAACAACTGGGAAATACCAAAAATTTTTTCCCAAATGGAGAGGGACCAATAAGTTATTTCAAAAAACTGGAGCGTACAAAAAAAGTTATTACAAACAAACTGGAGAGGTCCCCAAAAATTATTACAAACAAATGGAGAGGTACCAAAAATTTTTTCAAAACAAATGGGGCGGGACCCAAAAAAGTTTTACAAAAAAACTGGGGAAAATACCAAAAAATTATTACACTGGGGAGGACCAATAAATTATTTCAAAAAAACTGGAGCGTCCATAAAGTTTTTTACAAAAAGGCGAGGGACCATAAAGTTTTTTACAAACAAATGAGAGGGCCAAAAAGTTTTAAAAACAAAGGAAGGGCCAATAAGTTATTTAAAAACAACTGGGAGGTACCCAAAAGTTATCACAAAAAAACTGAAGGGACCATAAATTTTTTTCAAACAACTAGAGTACCAATAAAATTATTCCAAAAACTGTAGTACCAAAAAAGTTTTTACAAAAAACGGGAAGGGACCAAAATTATTACCAAACAACTGGTGGGTACCAATAAAGTTATTACAAAACAACTGGAGAGGTACCAATAAAGTTATTACAACAGACTTTGAATTGATGTAAATGACAAATAAATGATGTGTTTATTTGGAGCCCCATTAGCTTTTGCAGGCGCAAATTCTTCCCGGGGTCCACAAAAAAACCAAACAGACAAAAAACCAAAACACGGTACTCTGATAGACAAGGGCATCCCCCAACCCCATTAAAATCACAAATACAAAAATAAACAAACATTTATAAAATACAAAAATTAAAAATAAAAAAAGTTGTTTGTTTTTTTCATCTGTAGAACCCTAACTTCCAGTCATTGTCAACCTAGTTACATTGGGTTTTTGAAACGACCTCAAATTTCTTCAACTGGGCACAGAGACTAAAAAAAGGAACCACAAATTAATTTGCTCCCGATTGGGGCAGTTGGGGTAAAGGGACTGCCCTCGCAGTGCTACTGTGCCCTAAGGCCTGGTTTTGAATCCCGGCTCTTTCGTAGCCCCGGGCCCCGACCCCCGGGGGACCATGGGGGGGGGCGCACAATTGGGCCCCGGGGTCTTTCCCCCGGGAGGGGGTGGAATGGCCCCGGCAGGGATGTAGCTCTTATAAGGGAGGGCGTTTTCCAAAGCCCAGGGGTTTTGGGGTTTGATTCCCACAGGGGTATTAAAAAAATAAAAATAATGTAAGTCCCCCCTGGATAAGAGCGTCTGCTAAAAACGTAAATGTAAAATTTTAAAATACTCTGGGGGAAATAGCTAGCTCCGACAGTGCAGTAATCTAACAAAAATTTTACAAAATAAAAACCCAATACCCCAAAAACCATTTTAAAGGAAAGGGAAAATTTTAAAAATATATACATTATGGTTTTTTTTCCCCCGGGTTTTAAAGTAAAATACAAAACACCCTTTTTGATTAAAAAAAACCAAAAAACTGCAAAAATTTCCTAAGAGCTAGTCCCCGAGGCCGCCTCTTCGTCGGCGGGCCCTTGGGTTAAAAGACCAAAAATTTTTTATGATTTGGGTAGACTTTTTTTTTTAAAGTAACAAACAATAAATTTTTTACAAATTAATTTTTAATTGAAGCGTAATAAAAAGTAAAAGGAAAAACCCCCCCCCCTCTCTCCCCCTCCTCTCTCCCCCCTCTCTCTCTCCCCCTCTCTCCTCTCCCTTTCCCCCCTCCTCTCCCCCCCTCTCCCCTCCCCCCCTCTTTTTTTTTCTCCCCCCCTCCCCCCTCTCCCCTCTCCCCCCCTTTTTCTCCCCCCTCTCTCTCTCCCCCCCCCTCTCCCCCCCTCCCCCCCTCTCTTCCCCCCTTTCTCCCCCCTCTCTCCCCCCTCTCTCTTTTTCCCCCCCCCCCCTCTCTCTTCCCCCCCTCTCTCCCCCCCTCTCTCCTCTTCCCCCTCTCTCTGCCCCTCTTTCCCCCCCTCCCCCCCTTTCCCCCCTTCCCCTCTCCCCCCCCCTCCCCCCTCTCTCTCTCCCCCCCCCCCTCTTCTCCCCCCCTCCCCCTTTTCTCTCCCCCCCTCCCCCCCCTCCTCTCTTTCCCCCCCCCCCCTCTCCCCCCTCTCCTCCTCCCCCCCCTCTCTCTCTCCCCCCCCCCCTCTCTCTCTCCCTCCCCCCCCTCCCCCCCCTCCCTCTCTCCCCCCCCCTTCCCCCCCCTCTCTCTCCCCCCCTCTTTTCTCCCCCCTCCTCTCCCCTCTCCCCCCCTCTCTCTCCCCCCCTCTCTCTCCCCCCCCCTTCCCCCCTCTCTCCCCTTCCTCTTTCCCCCTCCCTCCCCCCCCCTTTTCTCCCCCTCTTCCCCCCCCCCCCTCCCCTCCCCCCCCCTCTCTCTCCTTTTCTCCCCCCCTCCCTCCCTCCCCTCTTTTTCCCCCCTCTTTCCCCCCTCCTCTCTCCCCCCTCTCCCCTCCCCCCTCTCCTTCTCCCGGCCCCCCAAAAGGGGGGGGTGCCCGGCCCGGGGCCCCTCTCTCTCCCCCCTTTTCCCCCCCCTCCTCCCCCTCCCCTCTCTCTCTTCCCCCCCTCTCTCTCACTCCCCCCCTCTCTCTCCCCCTCGGGCTTCCCCCCCCCCTTCTCCCCCCCGCTCTCCCCCTCTCTCCCCCCTCTCGGGTCCCCCCCTTTTCTCTCCCCCCCCTCTTTCCCCCCCCCTCTCTCTCCCCCCTTCCCCCCCCCCCCCCCCCCCCCCCTCTCTCCCCCCCTCTCTCTCCAAAACCCAACCCAGTTTGCCTTCCTTTTTTGATTTTGAAATCCCTCCTTTTCCCCCTTTTTATGGGGCCCCCCTCCCCTTCCCCCCCCTTCCCCCCCCCCCCCCTCTCCCCCCCCCTCCCTCCCCTCCCCCCCCTCCCCCAAACTCCCTCCCCCCCCCCCTCGGTCCCCCCCCCCCTCGGCTCCTCCCCCTCCTTTCCCTCCCCCCCCCCGCCCCCAAACCCCCCCCCCTCCCTTGTTTTCCCCCCCTTTCCCCCCCCCCCCCTCCAATTCCCCCGACCCAACCACCCCCCTTTTTCCCTTTTTCCCCCCCCGGTCCTCTCCCGCTTCCCCCCCTCCCCCCCCCCCCTCTCTCTAGCTATAACCACCCCGGTTCCCTTTTAAAAGGTCCCTCGGAAGGAAAAATTAATTAAGTCCCTACCCCCCCACTTCCAAACAAAAGCTCCCCACCCCAAAAACCCCCCATTCCCAAGCCCCCTACCCCCCCCAGGCTCCCAAAAAACAAAACTCCCCCCCAACCCCCGGGGCTCCAAACTCCCCCCCCACCCCGGGCTCCCAAACTCCCCCCCCACCCCGGGGGCAAAAAAACCCCCCCACAAGGACCCCCAACCTAGCTCCCCACCCCACCCAGGCCCCCGGGCATCCTCAATAGGTTTTTCCCCCCCCCCCCCAGGCTGCATTCAAATTTTCCTCACCCCACCCAGGCTGCATCTCATAGTCCCTCCTCACCCCACCCAGGCTGCATCTCAATAGTCTCCTCACCACACCCAGGCTGCATCTCAATAGTCTCCTCACCACACCCAGGCTGCATCTCAATAGTCCCTCCTCACCCCACCCAGGCTGCATCTTCAATAGTCTCCTCACCACACCCAGGCTACATTTCAATAGTCTCCTCACCCCACCCAGGCTGCATCTCAATAGTCTCCTCACCCCACCCAGGCTGCATCTCAATAGTCTCCTCACCCACCAGGCTGCATCTCAATAGTCTCCTCACCACACCCAGGCTGCATTCTCAATAGTCTCCTCAACCAACACCCCAGGCTGCATCTCAATAGTCTCCTCACCCCACCCAGGCTGCATCTCAATAGTCCCTCCTCACCACACCCAGGCTTGCATCTCAATAGTCTCCTCACCACACCCAGGCTGCATCTCAATAGTCTCCTCACCACACCCAGGCTGCATCTCAATAGTCTCCTCACCACACCCAGGCTGCATCTCAATAGTCTCCTCACCCACCCAGGCTGCATCTCAATAGTCTCCTCACCCCACCCAGGCTGCATCTCAATAGTCTCCTCACCCCACCCAGGCTGCATCTCAATAGTCTCCTCACCACACCCAGGCTGCATCTCAATAGTCTCCTCACCCCACCCAGGCTGCATCTCAATAGTCTCCTCACCACACCCAGGCTGCATCTCAATAGTCTCCTCACCACACCCAGGCTGCATCTCAATAGTCTCCTCACCACACCCAGGCTGCATCTCAATAGTCTCCTCACCCCACCCAGGCTGCATCTCAATAGTCTCCTCACCACACCCAGGCTGCATCTCAATAGTCTCCTCACCCCACCCAGGCTGCATCTCAATAGTCTCCTCACCACACCCAGGCTGCATCTCAATAGTCTCCTCACCACACCCAGGCTGCATCTCAATAGTCTCCTCACCCCACCCAGGCTGCATCTCAATAGTCTCCTCACCCCACCCAGGCTGCATCTCAATAGTCTCCTCACCACACCCAGGCTGCATCTCAATAGTCTCCTCACCCCACCCAGGCTGCATCTCAATAGTCTCCTCACCACCCAGGCTGCATCTCAATAGTCTCCTCACTACACCCAGGCTGTATCTCAATAGTCTCCTCACCACACCCAGGCTGCATCTCAATAGTCTCCTCACCCCACCCAGGCTGCATCTCAATAGTCTCCTCACCCAGGCTGCATCTCAATAGTCTCCTCACCACACCCAGGCTGCATCTCAATAGTCTCCTCACCACACCCAGGCTGCATCTCAATAGTCTCCTCACCCCACCCAGGCTGCATCTCAATAGTCTCCTCACCCAGGCTGCATCTCAATAGTCTCCTCACCACACCCAGGCTGCATCTCAATAGTCTCCTCACCACACCCCAGGCTGCATCTCAATAGTCTCCTCACCCCACCCAGGCTGCATCTCAATAGTCTCCTCACCACCCAGGCTGCATCTCAATAGTCTCCTCACTACACCCAGGCTGTATCTCAATAGTCTCCTCACCACACCCAGGCTGCATCTCAATAGTCTCCTCACCCCACCCAGGCTGCATCTCAATAGTCTCCTCACCCAGGCTGCATCTCAATAGTCTCCTCACCACACCCAGGCTGCATCTCAATAGTCTCCTCACCACACCCAGGCTGCATCTCAATAGTCTCCTCACCCCACCCAGGCTGCATCTCAATAGTCTCCTCACCACTCCTCATCTTTTCTTGTCTCTTGAATTTGAATTGAAGTCGTAATGAAAAGATGAATTGATCTGTATCTCTCTTACTCTCTCTCTCTCTGTCTCTCTCTCTCTCTCTCTCTCTCTCTCTCTCTCTCTCCCCTGATAGGCCCAAGTCCTCAGACAAGGCCCACTGCGACCTGGTAGGAGAGCAGCGATTGGTCCAGGGCTCTGAGAGGTCCCGCCCCATGCTCTTCTCCTCTCTTCCTGACGTGTCGTCGGTCGGCCGCTCCGGGAGAGCCAGAACCCCGGGTCACAGCTCCGCCCACGGGTCCACAGAGTCCCTCCCCTCCCTCAGTAAAATTCAGGATGAGGGGGATATTGTTGGTTTGGGATCGCTGGTCTCTGGACTGGAGGAGGAAGAGGTGGGAGAGTCTGTGTTTACTGCAGATTGCCATGGTGACGACGAGAGGCCCGTGGCTTTCTCAGAGTCCATTGGTCAGAGGGTGAGGAGAGAGAGGAGGAGCCAAACTAGGAAGACCTACTCTGAAGGGCTGGAGCCTGCTGACATAGTGAAGGACACTAGCCAATCAGTGAGCGAGGGGGATGGAGAGAGAGAGGGAGAGGATGGCGGAGGGAGGTTGGTGGCGGTGGGAGAAATGGGCGATGGGGGAGAGAGGGTGAGGGATAAGGGAGAGACGGTGAGGGATGGGGGAGAGCGGGTGAGGGATGGGGGAGAGCGGGTGAGGGATTGGGGAGAGAGGGTGAGGCCTGAGTTGTTGGATTTTGTTGGAGACTGGCCTTCAGAGGAGGTGCTGGGACAAAGAGAAGGAGGAGGAGGGAGGAAGGGGAGGCGCGCTGGGAGGGAGGGAGAGGGAGGTGGTGAGGGGGAGGAGGCAGGTCACAGAGGCAGCCAATCAGAAGGGCATCCTGGTAGCGGGCCTCGTGTCACAGAGTTCCAGAAGCTTCTAGAGCTCTTACAGACAGGTGTTGACTCCTCCCCCCTGCCAACCTGCCCCTCCCCCATCCTCTCCCCGAGCTCAGACCATTCACTTGGAGAGCGGGGTGAGGCAGGGGGGAGGAGAGGGGAGGCTGAGAGCCTCATATCCAGTAGAGATGGGAGAGACCAAGTCCTGAGTAGGGAGGAATTACCTGACTGTGTGTTGGTTGACTCAAGCCTGCGGAGGGAACCAACCCAGGTGGTTGAATCCAACTCTGTGGAGCAGCGGGAGGGAGAGACCATTCAGGCCGCCGAGGAGGGGGGGACTCTGGGTTTAATTGAGGAAGACTTGGTGGAGGTAGAGGGAAGACATCTTGGTAAGGTCAGTGAGTGTACTGATAGTGACAGCCATATTGCTGAGGGCAGTGTGGAAGCTGGTGAAGGCAGCCATGTTGGTGAGGTCAGTCAGAGTACTGATAGTGACAGCCATATTGCTGAGGGCAGTGTGGAAGCTGGTGAAGGCAGCCATGTTGGTGAGGTCAGTCAGAGTACTGATAGTGACAGCCATATTGGTGAGGGCAGTGTGGGAGCTGGTGAAGGCAGCCATGTTGGTGAGGTCAGTCAGTGTACTGATGCTAGTGAGACCAGGGTGGAAGGTAAAGTCGGCCATCTTGGTGAGGTCAGTCAGGATCGGAGGCAGCAGCGGCAGAGTCGCAGGGCGGGGAAACAGTGCAAGCTGGCTCTCACTTTCACACACAACATCCCTCCCTCCCCCAAACCACAGATAGACCTTGATCCTAACCTCAACCCTGACCCCCAGCCCCACCGCCCCTCCCCTCCTCCCTTATTGGCGGACACAGATCGCTCCTCCCAGACCGACCCGCAAGACTTCGCCTTCCTCTGGCGTCTCGACCATAATCGTCACGACAACCCAACCGATGCCAAACCCGTCGCCGCGGGAGACCACTTACCCCACAACAACGCCCCCACCGTTCTCCACGGCAACCCTTCCCGTTTCCTCCCAGAGGTATCGGCGGCGGTCTCTGCGGGCGTTGCAGTTCACCCCTCCGGCCAGCGTGTGGTGCCGTACCGTGTGATGCACGACAAGGGGAGCCAGGTGGAGGAGAGGGAACTGGAGGGGGGACGGACCAGACAGCAGAACCTCATCATTCTCAGACGCCATTTTAAACTGGTCAACAGAGACACCCTGGAAGACCTCTATGACAAGTGTCAGCAGGTAGGGATGTTTATTGTTGTTTGTTTATTGTTGTTGTTTATTGTTGTTGTTTATTGTGTGTGTGTTGTATTGGCTGAGGCTCTATCTGTGTAAAGGGAGGAAGCCTTGTCTGAGCCAGAACAGCCCACAGGACACTAGTCTATCTCCTGTTTCTGTAGTGAGACAGCTTGATGTACAGGACACCCCCTGGACAGGACACTAGTCTATCTCCTGTTTCTGTAGTGAGACAGCTTGATGTACAGGACACCCCCTGGACAGGACACTAGTCTATCTCCTGTTTCTGTAGTGAGACAGCTTGATGTACCAGGACACCCCCTGGACAGGACACTAGTCTATCTCCTGTTTCTGTAGTGAGACAGCTTGATGTACAGGACACCCCCTGGACAGGACACTAGTCTATCTCCTGTTTCTGTAGTGAGACAGCTTGATGTACCAGGACACCCCCTGGACAGGACACTAGTCTATCTCCTGTTTCTGTAGTGAGACAGCTTGATGTACCAGGACACCCCCTGGACAGGACACTAGTCTATCTCCTGTTTCTGTAGTGAGACAGCTTGATGTACAGTACACCCCCTGGACAGGACACTAGTCTATCTCCTGTTTCTGTAGTGAGACAGCTTGATGTACCAGGACACCCCCTGGACAGGACACTAGTCTATCTCCTGTTTCTGTAGTGAGACAGCTTGATGTACAGGACACCCCCTGGACAGGACACTAGTCTATCTCCTGTTTCTGTAGTGAGGCAGCCTTATGTACCAGTACACCCCCTGGACAGGACACTAGTCCATCTCCTGTTTCTGTAGTGAGACAGCTTGATGTACCAGGACACCCCCTGGACAGGACACTAGTCTATCTCCTGTTTCTGTAGTGAGACCAGCTTGATGTACAGTACACCCCCTGGACAGGACACTAGTCTATCTCCTGTTTCTGTAGTGAGACAGCTTGATGTACCAGTACACCCCCTGGACAGGACACTAGTTTATCTCCTGTTTCTGTAGTGAGACAGCTTGATGTACAGGACACCCCCTGGACAGGACACTAGTCTATCTCCTGTTTCTGTAGTGAGACAGCTTGATGTACCAGGACACCCCCTGGACAGGCACACTAATCTATCTCCTGTTTCTGTAGTGAGACAGCTTGATGTACCAGGACACCCCCTGGACAGGGACACTAGTCCATCTCCTGTTTCTGTAGTGGAGGACAGCTTGATGTACCAGTAACACCCCCTGGACAGGACACTAGTCTATCTCCTGTTTCTGTAGTGAGACAGCTTGATGTACCAGTACACCCCCTGGACAGGACACTAGTCTATCTCCTGTTTCTGTAGTGAGACAGCTTGATGTACCAGTACACCCCCTGGACAGGACACTAGTCTATCTCCTGTTTCTGTAGTGAGACAGCTTGATGTACCAGTACACCCCCTGGACAGGACACTAGTCTATCTCCTGTTTCTGTAGTGAGACAGCTTGATGTACCAGTACACCCCCTGGACAGGACACTAGTCTATCTCCTGTTTCTGTAGTGAGACAGCTTGATGTACCAGTACACCCCCTGGACAGGACACTAGTCTATCTCCTGTTTCTGTAGTGAGACAGCTTGATGTACAGGACACCCCCTGGACAGGACACTAGTCTATCTCCTGTTTCTGTAGTGAGACAGCTTGATGTACAGGACACCCCCTGGACAGGACACTAGTCTATCTCCTGTTTCTGTAGTGAGACAGCTTGATGTACCAGTACACCCCCTGGACAGGACACTAGTCTATCTCCTGTTTCTGTAGTGAGACAGCTTGATGTACCAGTACACCCCCTGGACAGGACACTAGTCTATCTCCTGTTTCTGTAGTGAGACAGCTTGATGTACCAGTACACCCCCTGGACAGGACACTAGTCTATCTCCTGTTTCTGTAGTGAGACAGCTTGATGTACCAGTACACCCCCTGGACAGGACACTAGTCTATCTCCTGTTTCTGTAGTGAGACAGCTTGATGTACCAGTACACCCCCTGGACAGGACACTAGTCTATCTCCTGTTTCTGTAGTGAGACAGCTTGATGTACAGGACACCCCCTGGACAGGACACTAGTCTATCTCCTGTTTCTGTAGTGAGACAGCTTGATGTACAGGACACCCCCTGGACAGGACACTAGTCTATCTCCTGTTTCTGTAGTGAGACAGCTTGATGTACAGTGACACCCCCTGGACAGGACACTAGTCTATCTCCTGTTTCTGTAGTGAGACAGCTTGATGTACAGGACACCCCCTGGACAGGACACTAGTCTATCTCCTGTTTCTGTAGTGAGACAGCTTGATGTACCAGGACACCCCCTGGACAGGACACTAGTCTATCTCCTGTTTCTGTAGTGAGACAGCTTGATGTACAGTACACCCCCTGGACAGGACACTAGTCTATCTCCTGTTTCTGTAGTGAGACAGCTTGATGTACAGTACACCCCCTGGACAGGACACTAGTCTATCTCCTGTTTCTGTAGTGAGACAGCTTGATGTACAGGACACCCCCTGGACAGGACACTAGTCTATCTCCTGTTTCTGTAGTGAGACAGCTTGATGTACCAGGTACACCCCCTGGACAGGACACTAGTCTATCTCCTGTTTCTGTAGTGAGACAGCTTGATGTACCAGTACACCCCCTGGACAGGACACTAGTCTATCTCCTGTTTCTGTAGTGAGACAGCTTGATGTACCAGTACACCCCCTGGACAGGACACTAGTCTATCTCCTGTTTCTGTAGTGAGACAGCTTGATGTACCAGTACACCCCCTGGACAGGACACTAGTCTATCTCCTGTTTCTGTAGTGAGACAGCTTGATGTACCAGTACACCCCCTGGACAGGACACTAGTCT